GTTCTATCTTAGAAAAAAGAGCTGGCCACACTGACTGGCCGCGCCCCTGAACTTTTTGTGGCCGGGCTCTGTGGCCGGGTCTTGTCCTCCTCTTGTCCTGCTGTTGTCCTCTGCTTGTCCTTCTCTGGTCCTCTGGCCGCGCTGACCAGCCCTGGACACATGGACTGGCTGCGCTCCTGATCTCTGTGGCCGGGCTCTCTGACCGGGTGTTGTCCTCCTCTTGTCTTCTCTTAATTGTCCTGCTCTTCTCTTGTCTTCTCTTGTGGCCGAACAATTACCGATGCCAATTCCAACAAAAATCATTGATAAAGCGCAGTTTGCTCTTGGGGGGGAACGTAGGGCGTACCAAGAAATTGTTTTTGACAGTTGTTGGTCCAAACAAGACTGGTTGGGGTCTATGCTGGACTCGACTAGCAGGGGATTGGAGCAGGCCTGCAGAGTTCCACTTAACAAAGCTCTCTGCAGTGTCCTGAGGATAGCACTGGAGACGTTCAGTGACCTACCTGCGTTACGACTTTCATTACCCAATCGGTCCAGTGGTAACTACAACAAAACTACTGGCCTTTGCGTCGGTTTTGCATCTGCGTCACGCACTCGTCGATGCCGTCGCCTTTTGGAACGTTTGGTAACGCTACAGCTTTCAGGAGTTGAGACTGTCACTTGAGTTTGCATTTACATATATGTTCACCCTGATTCCTTAAATTTTCACTTACGTCCGCGCCTGGCAAACCGCAATCGTGTCAGTACGCGTTTCCTAAGCGTGTCTCTCCTTAGTGAGAGCTCAGGGTGTACCCAAGGAGAGTCCCTGTGGACCCGTCAAACGGGGGAAACAGAGCAGTCCGCAGCGGACGGAGTAGGCTTGTGCCATATAGCTATGCCAAGACTTGTTGAACTAATGAGTATGAGGGGGAAACTTGAGTTCCCCAATGGAAACGCGACGCCAGGAGGGGGGTCCCGGCATAGTCCTTGCAAAAACCAGCTTCCCACATGGAAACGCAATGATTTAGCAATGATGTTAATCTCCTTGTGGTCCCTTGACATCTCTTTGGACCAGGCTCTGGGCACCTTACTTGGAGCCACACAAGTTGCAAAGAGGTATCGGAACGAGGGTGATAGAGAGAGAGAGAGAGGGGGCCAGAACCCGTGCCAGCAAGGAAAGCCCTCAGAATGAAAACCTCTGTCTATATAGTTGCCTCATCATGTATATGCTCACGCCCCTTTCTTTCCTTCTTTCCTTCTTTCTTGTCTCCCAGCTTGTGTGCTGTGATCGGCGTTTTGTCTGCCGCTGCTGCCTTGTCTCCTTACTTGTTTCCCCACCTGCCTCCCCACTCGTTTGCCTGTGCGATTGGCGTTTTGCTTGATCGTCGTTTTGTTTGCCGCTGCTGCCTTGTCTTCTCCCCAACCAAACGCACCATCGCCACGACTTCCATACATTCAAACCCCAATGGAAACGCTTCAAAAATAGCAAATCGACGACAATCGCCACGACTTCAACATTTGATTGTACCTTGCAATAAAGCGGTGGTCAAAAGAAGCAAGGCATCGGCATAGCCAAGGAGGAACGGAAAAATTACAGTTCTCGTTTTGAAGGCTGCATTGTAAATACGGAGATCTTTTCCTACAGATTCCTTATAGTCGACTTCATTCGTCACCAGTTCAAAAGCGGCTTTTTGCGTAATGCAGCCAGTTTTGTCTGGGACGACCGCACCACCGTTTACCGTTTACCATAGTTCACTCTGTTCGCTGTTTTCGATTCACAAGAAACGCGCTTTACAGGATAGTCATCACTGGTTCTAAGTACCTGCCCAAGTAATTTCGCTTTACGGTGAAGATTGCGGATTCTCTGAAGAGAGGATATTTCTTGTGTATGATATCTGCACATTGACAGTAGCAGGACCAAAGGGGCCAATCACTGGGCAGACGACTTGCGGGTTGCACTCCAAATTGGGTAGTTGAATGCTGCTGCTGCTGTTTCTTCCAAGGGTTACTTTTATTGTGCACGTTAACCCGAACAAAATGCGTTGCCACAAACCTCTGGCCAAGAAAACCTAAATGGATCAACCATGATCAACCACCACTTTTGGTTAGAACTGTTTAGGTATCTGGCCCTGCACGTCTGAAAACAAGACTTGCCGAACGTCGTTCTTTTGAAATGATGTCCCTGGTTTGTTTGCCTGACTAAACTCGGGCTGCATCAGCAGCCGCCGGCCTTCGTCTCGTTAGATAACTGTTGCCGACGCAGCCGCTGTTCTTCCATGGCGGCCTGTTGTGCTGCCTGGGCCTGCATCTGGGCACAGAACGAGCACAGCAATGTGAAGTCTCCCAACCAAACAAGACGTATGGTTAGTTATGATAATGTTGACCTATGATTAATAAAGGGACCCGGAATAAAGTTAGCCAAGTTGAATTAGGGTGTCCTAAGAATTTCAAAATTTCACAGTACATTTATTAATCAGAGGTCAACATTATATGAATGATGCCTTGCGGTTGCATCTGAAACTATGAATATGTCCAGTTGGGTGAATGCTCGAGAAATGCATTAACATGCCAGGAGGCATTTAATTGCATTAAAGGTTTAAAAATGCAAACCTGTATGCTACACCTCCAATAGTGCTGCATCGATCTTGGTCTTGACTGTGTCTTCAAACTCCCGGAGAGCTTGCGTCTGAGTCTTCATAAGCTCGCCCCCAAGCCTTGGAGGTCCGACCCCCTTGTACATGCTCTCAAGCAACTGCTACTAGTAGCAAGTGCATCGCTACTAGTAACAAGGGCATTACTACTAGTGGCTTCTTGCTACTAGTAGCGATGTAGCAATGAGCGATGCCCTTGTAACTATTATTCTTAAAAAATGCAAAAGCAACAACAACATGATGTCCTCAAGCAACGGCCTGCCAGGTGTCAAACTTTGTCGCAGCTCTCGCGCGCGCAAGATCATTCAAGGATATTCCGAGAAACATTCACCCAAATTTGCACAAAACCACGTCTTTTTTTTGCCGACTGCATAACCCCAACACCCCGCCCCACTCAAAAAAGGCATCCACCACAAAGAAGTTTGAGAAGGTACCAAGCCCGACTCTCTGACCTAAAGTGCAATCTGTTTGAAACTTTGATGCATCTGGATTTTGGTCGAAGAGCTCGTGCAACATTGAGATGGACTTGCCACTTTCCTCCGTCCGAAGAACCGGGCTTCAGTTCATTAAAGGATGAAACTGAATGAACTAGGAGCAAGGACGCTACTAGGGGCTCCTGGCCGTACTACTAGGAGCAAGGACGGAGCAAGAAGCTACTACTATTGATTGCTTCGACATCTGATCAACACTGCCTCCTGTCGGCTTGCAGCCTCATTCGCAAGCCCTTGCTCCAAGCGCTCCAAACGGCTGGACAAAGCTTGCCTCTGCAGACAACTTGGGTGAGTTCTTACATATTTCAAGAACAAGCGGAGTATTCAGGACTTCAAAGCATGCATTCAATCAAGTACTCCTGGATCATTTAGAAAAGCGAAGGCCAAGCGAAATCAGGTGCCGTCGACATATTTATGTACACACACATATACCGTATACATATAATTTTCCTCGAATAATGCATTGAGACTGGTACATTCCACTCTGCTTCGAATCTGAAACTTGTTAGCGTCTACTGTGCCGGGTTGCAACAAGTTTTGGGGACCAAAAGGAACGCCATTGATGTCACAAAAGAACAAAATGCAAACGTCATCAAATGTAAAATGCCCCGCACCAGAACACAACCAAACCTCTGGCTGGCTTGCACCGCGATCCTGGCTGCCAAAAGAATAAGCATGCATTCGATGTCTGCCAAGTTGCAGCTCCAAACTGCTGACGGTGTTGGCTTCAGGGGACCTCTCGACGCAGCATCCCTCCAAATCTGGCTCCCCAAAACAAGTACAAAATCAGCGAATAGCACATAGCACTGACAACTGATCAATCAGCCAATCGGCCAACCCAATCAGTGAATAGCGGGATCCTGCCTCTCTGCCAATTGTCGGCGCACCTCTGCTCGCACCAAGTTCTCGGTGATCTCTGCTGACGGTACTGCCACGTCCTCAGCGAAAAGACTTCACAATGACCATGGGGGGGGTTGTGCAAAATGTGGGACAATGTGCGCTTCCGGATCGTCACATCTTAGGCTTTTGCGCAGAAACGTCACTCCATGCTCCACTCATCTCCACTCACCCAAACGTTTCTCAGATTTTCCAAGCTCCCAAGACCGACCTATTCACCAAGGTGGACCAAGGAGCTGCTTTGATACCTGAACCATGAGTTCGCACCTCGTCAATCAACCTGAGAACGTGCCAGCTTGTCAATTTTGACCAGGTCAGTTGAAGTGATGGCCACATTTGTAACTGTAACTTATTTATCACATTTTATCACATATATAAATTGATGGCCACATTGGTTTAGTCACTGAAACTTGTAGTGATGGCCACATTTGTCACAGGGCGAGGCTACCTTCTCGCCAGTTGGACTGGCGGCCTGGAAAGGTCTGCACTAGCATTGCCGATCTCGAGTTTTTGGGCGTTCAACTCTTGCTGCATGCTTTCTCCTCAGCTGTCGTCACCGCAGCAGCGTTAAACAAGTACAGTATCATGTTGGGCCTGTGGTATTTTGAGAAATGTGAGTTTCATGGTGCTTATATAGGTTGGTGACAACATGGCTATACACTTGGTTAGGATGTTGCCCCTGCATCTTAATCTTTCCAGCTAACCATTGCACAAGCCGTGTGGAACTTGAGATAGGTAGCAAATGGGCGGGAAGGGAAAGGAGATAGTTTTACTCCTTATTTGCTGCTGCTCTGCACAAGATTTGCACCCAAAGCGCCCTTTCGTGACCTGCGCATCATGAAGCACATTACATTGAGTTTCAGTGGGTTTGGGTTCCACTGAAAGCTATGGCGATGCATGCGTGTGCCCACCCTTTTGCATCCGAGCCACTCATCTGCAAGAATTCACCCATTGCTTTCTCAGCCTGGTTGGCAGCATTGCCTGGTCCAGAAAATGTGCAGGACAGCAAAGTGGAATGATGTCGCAACAACTGGTATTTCGGAATGATCAACCAAAACTTATTCAACACCCATGATTTCGGCTGCTGGTGCGAAGCCACCATTGTTCCGCTACTGTCCAACGCAAACAATGTTTTCTATCTTTTCTCATCCCCAGTCGGACAGGAATCTCACTCGGAGTTGAGTTCTCTCCTCACAGCTCTGAACCCTGCGGCCCTTGCCTGCTTCCAATCTAATTTCCCTTTGGAGGGCTGTGAGCCGAGCTTCTAAGTGGCTCTCCACTGCCCGGCGTAGAGACTCGGGGCAAACGGAGTGTCTGAAGTATTCAATCCACAACCCCATTCGGAATGCAAAATGAAACCCCTCAAATGGTGTTCTTTTTCTGTGCTGCGAGCCACCGACTCCTCCTTCAGGTGGTTTTGCCAGCGCTGGTCTAATTTCGTGCCCTGCTCCTCCTGGTGCACTTGCATCTGTCGGATCGCCTCAGGCAGCGACTTGGTGTGCTGATTGATCGTTCAGGTGTTTCCAGTCTCGCCTCGTCTCTTTTCTTCTTCTCGTCCTGGACAGACATGCTTTGTCTTGTGCCAGGCAGATTGGGCAAGGCAGTTTTCTCATCAAGCTCTGGTGAATGTTGAAAGCCACTGACAATACATGTCTTATGCATCTTCAGCCCAACTGCTTGTGTTGAGATTTCAATTGAAATCATAATCACTCGACTTCATAATCTCAACCCACGTGAGAAAAACATGACTGCCAAACAATATTAATACATACTAGCCGCTAGCCGCAACATCAGAGTTTCAAATCAAATACCCAAGGCACCAAAAGCATGCTTTCAATCTTCACATCAAGCTGCTTGCGAGCTTCCGCTTCTAGCCTGCAGCAGCACAGGCGGTGGAAAAACCTTCAATGACCTTACTGTCAGGTTGGCAAGATAAGATGTCCAACAAATGCAAAAAAATATCACATTTACATGCATAATCTTTAGTAGGAAGCATGTTCGAGAAACACACAAACCAACCCAGAAGATGCGGACTACAATCGCAGAACAAACCTACCTGAGGTCATGTTGGAGTTGCTTCAACTCCTGCGGGGAGCGGACATTGTTGCAATGGGCACCAAGCTTGGAAATCGTCCTGTGCCATGTCATTGGGTGCGAATGATGATGAATGTTCTGTCCTCGCAGCAAGGGAGAATCCGAGGCATCCCGGACTTGTAGAAGAGCAAAAGAGAAGGATCAATTCATAGGATTATATAATGGTTGTGTTTTTCTTCTCTCTATCTCCCTTCCTTTGTTTGTTTCTTTGTTGAGGGACCTTTAACACATACAGAAAGGCGCTGCCGCAACCAGCGACGCAAAGATACACAATACACGTCACACATGTACAAGTAAGAGGTGCAACATGGCTCTCGGAAAAAAACGGTCCCTTGTCGGCCAGTCAGCACCTGCTTCAGTGCATCAAGGACCTCCAAAAGGAAGCGAGGATTATCACAAGTTATGAGCACATTGAATCGAAGAGACATGTAAATATATATATATACACACATATTTATTAATGATGAGAGTGCAGCTAGACACGGACCCTCAAGGAGGCACAAGGAAGGTAAGGGGCAACCTTGCATCCGCTTATATAATCAAAATTCCCACAATGTACATGCTTGTGCCCTCAAACAATTGGGTCGGCTTTTTAGTTTAAAAGAAGCCTTAGGGCATGGCGTCCATGAGGCACGCTCACAGGGAGTTTCCGACACACATCGAGTGCAAATGAGAAGAAGCGTTGAATGCAACTCTGAGTGCACATGAAAAGAAGCGTTGAATGCAAGTTTGTGTCATGTTATTGCCGCCAGAGTGTGCAAGGGTTGTCTGTAGCTTCCCAGGCAGAAAATTGACCTCAACCATTCCCACCCAATGTACCGCTTGGAAATGCCTTTGAGAAAACAAATTCAGGGAATCCTTTCCATCCAAGAGCCCACCCGTGCCCATTTCGCCAACAACAACAACAGAGAATTATGCCAGCACCTCAAACAGTTTCAGCTGTTGTTTGGGCGTCAACTCCTTGAATTCCACTGTTATTGGTAACGTCTGCATTGGGAGTTACAGTACATGTACTTTAAAAAAGAAGAAAACGAAGACCAAAACACGCGGGGATATATATATATATGTCATGAACAAATCCAAGGATGATATCAAACGCTGCATCACTGTTGCATTCACAGCCAGTGGAGAAAGGGAAAGCGGCGTGACCAAGCAGGGGGATAAGGCTAGGACACGGCGGTGATAAAAGGGCCGACTATGCAGACAAGCAGGACAGACAGACCCGGACAAGCATAGGACAAGGCCTGGACATGGGGGCAAGGCCAACAGACCTGGACAAGGACAATGCAGGGTCTACGGCGTGGCCAAGCCCGACACACAGGCCCAGACAAGGCCACTAAACTGTTTAGGGACCGGAGGAAACCGGGCCCGCGGCTAGCAGGACAACTGGAGGACAAGAAAAGGACAAAAGAAGGACAACTGTAGCCTGTGTCTTTTTCCTAAGTCCAACAGTAAACTGTTTGGGGAACAAGAAGAGGAGGACAAGGTCTGGAGACCGGCTGGCAGCCACGGCCAAGCTGCTTACCAGAAGAACAAGAAGAGGACAACAGGAGCAAAAATATCTTTACACATAAAGTGAGGCCACCACCACACAAAGAGGCTTCGGGGATAACATCCTCCAATCAACATGCCTACACTTTAAAGGAAACCACCTAAATTACAAGAAACATGAAAGCACAAACATTCCTTTCAACCATCTCCTCCAGATTAATGCTATCTGGATCATTGTTGTGGAGGCAGGGAGCCGTTCACATGCATTGAGGCATTATCAGCTGTTGGTGTATTTATTTTTAAAAAACTGCGAAGCGGGAAAACCCTTTTCACACTCGGGCCTGTATGGCGTCGATTTGTGCGTGTCATGCCTGTGTGGGTGGAACATGCCGATCTTCTGACACCCCCTCTCCACACAGGCACCTTACACAGTACTCGAGGCTCTCTGCCCTCCTAAAATGAGGGCATTCCTCAGAAAAATGAATCTTCATGCCTTGTCGGCAGATTCTGTACTTGAGGCTCCTTTCCATAAGCCTCTTTCCATGATTTGCTGCGAGCAGACACTCTTGAAGTGCCATGTTGCGTTGCTCCTTCACTTTGGACATCTCGTCCTCCAACTCCTCAATGTAGGTGTCGAGTTGGAAGATTTTCTTCTCCACTTCATTTCGCTCGCTTTCATACTGGGCAAGGGCTTCTGCATCAACCCCGTTGTCAACTTGGGTTGACTTCTCATCCATGCCCTTCTTTTCATCTTTGTACTTCATGATCTCCTTGGTCGCTGCGTTGAAGATGTTCCCAACATAGTTCCACACCATGCTGATCACCTTCATGACCATGTAGTGCCGCAGCCACTCGATCAGACTCAAGGCCCCAACAATCACACAAATCAGCCAGATCCATTTCCAACTATCCCCCTCTTCGTCGTCGGCCTCAGTCGTTGGAGCTCCTGCAACACTTTCCAGGTTTGAGAGCAACCAGATCAGGCCGACATGGAGGTTCTTGTTCTTGAGCACCTTCTGCGTCCCTTTCCTCATTCTTTCACGATGCTCGAGCTCTTTGTACTCTTCCTGTCCGACTCGGTCTCCAGCACCATCGATCATCTTGATCATGTAGAGCAGACCGAAAAGCCGATTCCTTGTCAGGCCTTTCGCGCCGATGTCAGCAGGATTTAGTTCTGTTGGTATTGGGCTCACTGCAAGGATCTTCTCCTTCTCCTTTTGCTGGATCCATAGTAAGGCGGCATCCATGTGCCTGACCCTGCCGATGCCTTGTCTTTGGACCATTGAACGTGCTGCTGAGCTGTCCGACCTGATCTTCATTTCAACTGGTTCGTTGGTCATCTTCATCCATAGATGTCGGATGAGCAGCCCATCAGAGCTTCCTCCGACCATGGAGACAAACTCAGCCTCGCCTGATGACAGTGATATGGACTTTTGGGATCTCACTCTCGATTCCATCAGATTTCCATCCAGCAGAATCTGGAAAGATGATGTGCTTTTGCGATCGTTCCTGTTTCCAGCGTAGTCGCTGTCCCTCACCACTTCCAGAAGATGCTTCTCTCTGTCCTCCACCTCTTCAGCATCCCTGACGTCCATGATCGTCTGTCCTCGTGCTCTTGTTGCTATCCTCACTCCAAAACCTTGCGTCCCTTGGAGGTAAGAGCATACATGCCATGCATTCTTCCATGCTTGCCTCGTTGGTTTGGCCATGAATTTTGCTAGGCTTTGGATAGCGAATTGAGCATCCGGCCTCTCGCCTGCCAGATACATCAGGCGTCCCACTACACTCCTGTAGCGGGTGATGTCCTCTCCTTGTAGCTCCTCAGTCTCATCCTTCTGGCTGAATTCCTGGCTTGTCGGTGTCTTTCTGTACGCCTTCGTGTGGGCATCCACGTCTTTTGCCAGACTTTCGTACTGTCTGTAGTCGCATCTGATGTCACACCACTCATTGTACAGCGCGAACTCTCGCTTTAGGTAGTGGAAGGTTTCACCACTGCGGAATGGCCCTTTCTCCTCGATGCTCCACTTCATCTTCTCTTTGAGGTAGTTCGCAAATGACCTTAGGCTCTTTTCCTTTCCCACCATGAAGACGTCGTCGACGTGCACCGTGATGTAGATGTCTCTCGTCCTCATGAGCAACGTGGGTTGCATGACATCTTGTTCAAGCCCAAACTCCCTCGCTGTCTTTGCAAACAGATGAAACCATTGCGATGCAGCGGTTCTTTGGCCTGGAAGACATTTCACCAACCTGTAGATGACACCATCCACATCTACATAGGCCTTTTCCTCCTTGGGCTGATCTGCCATGAGGAAGGCATCTTTGATGTCGAGCGTCATGGCCGTGAACTCTCGGCAGACATTAAGTAGCAGATGTATCAACATCTTCGGCACCACGAGCATTGACGTGGGTGCAAATGTCTGTTCAATGTTGACGCTGCTTTTGAACTGTCTGGCCACCAATCTTGCTCTTCGAAACCAACCTCCTTGCTCAAGCCTGTGCTTCCAGGTGAGCACGAACTTGGTGGAAATGATGTAGCCACCTTCTCTTTCTACCTCTCCCGGGTCGCATTCCACCATGGCTGGAATGTTGATCATCCTGTTCACTTCGTTCAACCTGGCTTCATGATCCAACCGTTCAAGGTGTGCTTCGGTTGTAATTGGGGGCTCATCATCCTCATTTCCTCCATAGCCGGCGAAGAGATCTTCGGTCAACTCCTCTGGGATCAGATTGTCATCCATTTCTTCATCCCCATGTGCTTCAATAGCCTGAATCCCGGCATAGTGGGGTGGATAGAGCCGAGGAATCTTGCTGGGTGATGCACTCGTTATCTTATCCTCTTCAACCTCTCTTGCTCTCGTTGAAGCCATTCCAGGTGTTCCTCCAATCTCCTCTTCTTCACTCTCCTCAATCCTCTGCTTCTTGTCCTTCTCTCCATGTTCCTCATGCTGTGTTTCCCTCTTTTCATGTGATCTTCGGGGTGAATCCTCCTCATCATGTCTTTTGGCTTCTGGTTCTTCTGGTGCGTCCTCTGCACTCCTTTTCCTTGGAGTTTCCCTGCCGATGGCCGGTGTCACTGGCGCTGCTGCAGAGATACCTGGTGTTGTCGGCTGTGGCTTCAGTCCAGGTGCTGGGGTGACCACTCCAGCTGCTACTGCTTCAGTTATTGCTTTCATCTCTTCTTCGGTGGCCTCATTCTCCAACGTGGGCTGTCTGTATCTTTGTGCTGAGCCACCATGTTTCATCATGATCCCCTGCGGCGAATAGGACCATGGTAAACCTTTGGCAATGATCATGTCTGTCCCTTTGAATGAGTCCTCCACTGCAAGCCTCCTGATCGTTCTTGCTTCGAAGGCTCCTTCTGGTGTGAGAATGATGTGGTTGTCGTTCCAGCTATGCTTTCCGACCCAAATGCCTGTATCAAATGTGTCGCTGGCCTTGTACTTTGTCAATCTCTTGAACATCACCGTCTCGCCATACAATGCCAGCTTCCCACGATATGCATGGCCTGTCGCAAGTTCATAGCTGGTTTTGCCAATCTTCTCCAGGACACGGAACCTGTTGAT